CCGCGCGCCCCCGGCGCGTCCCGCTTCCGACCGCCCGGCAGCGGGGAGTCCCCCCTCCCCGCCCCCGCCGCGCCTGCCCCGCTCATCCTCCCCCTCAGCACCCCCCGCCTCCCACTACCACGCAGGCGCAAAAAAGAGCGCATGCGCACTACCCCACGCAGAAGCCCGCCCCCTCCCCCCAGCACCTCGCTATCTAGTCATTGGCGTGCCCCGGGCCCTACCTGAAAGACGCCGGATGATTGGTGGAGGGAAGTGAGCGGGCCTGGAGCTGTTGCGCCATCCCTCTTAGGCTCTACACCTGTCATGTGATGAGCGGCAGCATGACGTCACCCCCCGCAAGGCGCGCCAGCTCCCTGGAACGGAGCGTCCGCAGTTGCCGTGGCAACCGCTCCTGCCCTGAGCCCCCTCCCCACCCAGGCGCCTGGATCCCTTGGGAGACTCCCCCCGCCCTCCCTGCGCAGCAGCTGCCCGCACCGCCGCACCCGCCAGGCGGCCAAGTCGTTCCCCTACAGAGACAGATAGAAGAGCTACGTTTTTCACATTCTCGAAGCATAGACCTTAAGATCAATGCCAAAAATCATGAGAATTGGCAATACTGTATTTTTCACCAGCTGCTTAAAGGAGTGAAAATAGTTCTGTGTGCCTGGCTTTGGTGCTTGTTTTCCTAAAATAAGGAAGTCAAAAATAACATGCACTGGGCACATCCACACATTCATTAATGCGCCTTCGATACTGCACATTGAGTTTAGTACTTAATAAAGTACCAACTAAATGTGCAGTAACTAGAGTTACTGTGCAGCAGTGCCGGCACATCGCTCTTTTGTGACACTTACTGTGCAGTAGGCTATTAGCACGGTTTTTAACGGCTATGCTACTGTCAATGTTCTCTCTAAGGAGCAGTGGTCCATGAGTGCGCCGGCGAGGGACAATTACTGAAGAGGGCTGGGGGCTGGAGGCTGGAGCTGGGGACTGGGGCTGTGGCCAGGGGCCAGGGGCTGGAGCCCAGAGCTGGGAGCCGGGGGCTGGGGTTATGGGCCAGGGGCTGGAGCCGGGAACCAGGGGCTGGAGCCGGGGGCTGGCGTGGGTTCTGCC